ATGGGAGGAAAATACCAAAGATATGACTAGGAGGCAGAAGGTGAAGTGGGCAAAGAGAATATTAATAAAATGTGAGTTTTAATTAAAAAGTTGTGTGAAGTAGTAGAAGCTTTCTATTTCTGTAATGTTCAGGTCCAAGTGAATTTATTGGTTCATTTATTCTTGAAGTCCCAGTAAATCTCAGTACGGATTTTTCCAACCATATTAAATAATTCTCCTGTGAGCTTATATTCAATTCAGTGGAGCTACCATGATGTCTAAGGAGACTGAAATCAAAGCTGGGGGGGCTCAAGACATTTTCCCAGTAATATTTTTCGTAATTGTTGCATAGTTCATCACAAAGTTATTCCTTTACTAGGTTTGCAGCTAATTAGTTATATGCCAACTGTTGGACAAATATATACCATTTTAAAATTGAACACACTTTCACGTGGATAACAACAGTTCCCGTAGGGAGAAATGCTTAAACAAGGCTTGTTACAGCCCCTGGGATCTATTAGAGAACACGATCACCTCCCAGGAGTGCTGCTATTAAGGCACTTAAAAGGAGCCTGGACACACCAGCACTGCCAGAGCTTTCATCACTGGTAAATGACGGCCTTTCGGGCTCTAATTTCGGTGATCAGTTTACTGTGGTGCAAATCAGAGCTGAATCACAGTAATGCCTTGGCACTCTCATGCATTGCCTTAAACCACACAAATGCTGAAATAAGGAGTTCTGGTGCACTTGCAGACTGGATTCCTTTTTTCTCAGCCTGTGCCTTTTTTCGTGACAACATCGGAATCAAAGAACACTTTTTCTGTTCTCTTTATCAGTTTTAAATCTCTATAACCAGCTGGCAGGTTACAGAGCTCTGATAGGTGGTGTGGCTTTTTTTGAGAGAGCCAAACCCAAGGACCTGCTGCACATATCCTGGTTCCCAGGCTCCTTGCCAGCACGGGGTGTGATGTAAGAGCCTTTCACGCTGAACAAGTTAACAGCCCTGTTTTGGAGTTTACTACATTTTGGCTAAGACACAGCATGAATAGCCTTGCAGGAAAGTACTACTGTTTAACAAGCAAGTAGCTGCAGGAACAATCTGGCTTCCCTCTTGTATCTAGGACTAGAAGAGTCCCAGCTGTACATTACGTCTCTCCTCTCCCATATACTAGAGCAGAAGGGACTGTGTAAAATGAACACAGACCAGTCTCTTTCAGTGCCTCACATGTGCTCTGTCTGCAGTTTTAACAGGACTTGCTCACACAAGGTGAGAGTAAGTCTCAGTCTACCATTTGTCTGAGATTTCCTCTTTTTAAGAACGTTCTGGGCGATTACTTGGCTAAGAGGTTATTTGGAGAATCACACAATCATAGGGAAAGTACCATTTGCAGGCATGTTCTGCCTTTGTCACTTCTTGTGAGCAGAGAAAGCCCCGGCTTTGTTTTCAACCAAAAGAGACCTCAAAGGCAACTCTCCAGTCTGGAGCAAGCACCTTCTGGCCTGGACTCCTTTCATGTTGGGAAAGGGGAAACCCATAAAGGCCAGGAAATGATGTACCACAGAAACACTTGCGTTTGCAGGACACAGGGAACAGTGATATTTTCACAATGTCTTATACATCAGTGGAAGAAGAAAGGGTGGAATGAAAAGGATACAACCACATTAAAGCTCAACACACCACATTCCACTTCAAAATACAGGCAGAGGAAACAGGGCAAACGCGCTCGTTACTGAACATGCAGCCTCTCTACATTCCTTTCATTGTCCGTAATGTCACATTAGAGAAGAGTTATCGTTTACCACTTACTGCCTAGAGGTTACACCATCCAAACAACACAAGGCCAAAGTACATGAGTCATGAACTGTATTGTGAAAAATCAAGTCGCTCCCTCCCTGTGTAACGCAGCGCACAGTAATCTTTAGGTGCAGCTTTGATCTCTTATCAGCTGAATTTCTCATTATAACCTTCTAACTCCACGGCTAGGAACACCTGCACAGCCAGGGGAAAGCCTGTAGGAGCTGCTGCAATGGTGTGTCACAGCCCCATCACATCTCGCTTTGGGCACCTCTCAGAAGTGCCTGGCTCAGAAATGCAGCACCCGGAGTCACTGCCTTTGCAAGCAGTGCAAGAGGCTGCTCAGCCCCCTGGAGATCTGATTCATCCCCTGAAAACGCCTCTCTGGGGGATACAGAGACAACTGCAGCCACTGTACTCCCCGCTTAAGCGGCTCAGGTAGGTTTCTAAAGTTAGGTGGGATAAATCCAGACCTCGGTCATAATCACAGACACCCATTTAGCACGAGGTTAATTGCTTAGCTTTGAGTACTGTGTTGAGATGATACTCGCTGAAGGAGGATCTCCCTCCCTCAGGAACTCTTTCCCACTATTTATTCCCCTCACCAGAATCAAGGGCTCAAAAATCACATCAAAATATACACTGTTGTAAGTGCTACTAAAGCATGAAAGGAAATAAATATTGCTGGGAAATAAACATTTTTATTCTTTCCTCCAAACCTTCTCTCTTACTGAATAGATTCAACCGTTCTGCACAAGAATTTCAGACACATAAAAAACAAGTACAGAATCAGCTTCAAATGCAATTAATTATAAAAATGGGCTAAGAATTGTTCCAAGTCCTGATACTGCACCTTCCCGCTCTTCTGGTTTTTTTTAAATAATAATTCCGGGCCTGGGTCCAAAGGTTCCTCTTTTCTACTGCAATATATATAGTAATCATGAATCATTTGTAATAGTTCTGGGATCTCACACCTTATCGCCAGTTAAACAATGTAATAACTAAATGAGATGTAAGTTGACAGAGTCCTGTAGATAAGAGTCAACTTCTCATTTCAGATGCCAACATAGAAGCTTCCCTATCATTAAACTGGTCATCTAACAGCACGGCCATGAATCCATGAAACCATTTCTCACTTAATTTATGGTGTGTTTTTAAGATAATTCAATTTTTTATGCCAGCAAATGGTGATGTAAGTAAACAAGAAATGAAGTTTGCCTTTTACAGATTTGTTTATGGCGTGTGATTGTGAAATCGTGTATTTATTATCACATAGCTCAAAATAAATGAAATGTTTGAGACATGGCACTCAAATAAAGGATGTCGGTACTGCTGTTGCGTTTGTAAATGAATGCTGGGTCAGTAACATGCAGGGATTGAAAGAAACAACAGTCCTGAGCAAACACACATCAGATTCAGGTTTGTGCCCTTCTGCAGGAACTTACCCTTTCCCTCTAACAGTTTCTCCTACCAGAAGAACATGGCAAATCTAATCTCTCTCCAGTCTCTGTTGAAAATTAAACATCCAGAGCTTTGTTCCTCACCGAACTGTGGCTGCTGACATTTATTACCAAGTAAACCAGAAACCTAATGATTCACAGCCCTGCACACTCACTGTTCTCAGATATAAATGAGTACAGAGAGTACCAGACAATCAGGTGCTACACATCTCATGTGTTTCTGTATCTTCTGAACAGGAGAGAACTGAGTTCAACATGCTGAGTTTCCACCAAGACTTTCTCCTGTACCTATATACAACCACAACTGTTCATAAAAACTTGCTGAGAATTCCGTTTCTTTATTCTGGCATCTTCTACTCAACTTCATATTGTCTGAATCAGCAAATAATTAAAAACAAAATAAACTCTTCAGTCTTTTGGTCAGTGGAATGTGCTAAGATTATGTTGTTTCCTTACTTCTATTCTAACAGGTACAAAAGGCTCCTCTGTAGCTGCATAACACAGATAAACACATTCATATGCAAATAATATGACTGATTGACTACAACCTACTCAAAATATTTTTGTGTCCTACAAACCTTTGGGTTTCATTATTTATGTATCCCAAGACTATACTGACATGGAAAGGCATTGAGTTGGCTAGACAAAATTTACTGCTGGAGTTCCCTGACTGTAAGCATATTTTATTTAATACTTTAATGATTTACTTTTGCATAGCAGCAGAACAGAAAGTCTGTAATTTGTATTGCTTGTTTAATCTAGGAAAAACAAAGGTTGGCTACAGGTACAACAGGATGTAACAAACAATGAATGAAAACGGCCATTCATTATAATTAATGGTTATAACCTGTCCATGAAAAAAATCAGGTCGAAAATCAGAGACTTCCTAACCTTTACAGAAGGGGCCCCCAAAACAGGGCACGTGTTTTATGGGATGTGTGTCAATAACTTAAAAGTAGCCCGTGAACACCGACCCAGGACCCAAATGCTTTCAGCATCACAAGAGCTGCTGCTGCTGTGGAGGTACCTAACACAAAAGCAAAAAGGTTTTGGGATTGCTGTGTTACCGTGTTCAGATCCTGGAACAGCTTTTCCCATGGGTGAGTGGGAGGAAACTTCCTGCTTTTAAAATAAACTACTGAGAACTGGAACGAAACAGAACCTGCAGTCATTCAACAGAGAAACTGATGTCAAGAACTTTGTGCCCTTCACATTTCTAGATTTCTAGATACAGAAAATGTCAAGGATTTTATATTTTGAGGGGGAAAAAAAGAAGAAGAGAGGGGCAAGACAGATACAGGGTAGTTAATTCTGGTCAAGTCTTCTGGTTCCATGAGGCAGAGGAACGGAAAGATACAGTTAATGCAAAGGAATTAACACAAAAAAGAAAGAAGGGGCAAAAAGGAAGAGGAGGAAGAAAGAAAAGAAGGCATGTGATGCCTCTGAGGCTCAGGCTGACCAAGGCAGAGGGGAGGAGGCACAATGGCCTGCAGTGCAGATCTTGTGGTGGAAAAAATCAGAGGCTGGCATTCATGCGTTCCCAGGAAATGCTGAGTTATGCATTCCCAGGAACTGAAGAAACTGTTCTTATGAAGACACCTTTACTATGTGGGGGCTGGATAAGTGCCCTGGTAGTGCTGCTCTTCTTCCTCTACTCTCTGAGCTGGGGCAGGAGGTGTGATAGCAACTAGTGCCATTAGTCACCAGCTGTCCCAGTCATCTCAGACCCCAGAGGCAGCAGGAACTCAAAACACTTGCAGCTCACACTGTGAATTTCTTTTTGATATGCTCTCCTTGGCTGCTAACTCTCTCATCAGTTCTTCCTGAGGGACATAAAAGACAATACTAAATAAAATCTTACCCTTCTCCAAGCTGGCATCTCAACAGTGTATGTTGGGATCTGTAGCCATTGCAAAACTCACTTTGAGACTGGTGCAAACATTAGTTACTGCTTGGGTAAATCAGAAGGGAGCTACCACCTTTGGATTCCTAGTGCCTGCTGAGCCATATTCTGGGAAAGCTGGAATAAAAGGCCCACGGCACTGTCCTTGTGCTGTTCCACAGTATGGACACACACACTGTAGCCCATCAGTCATAATACAAGACAGTTAACACACAACCCTGTACATTTCCAACTGGAAAAATGGACACATGCTTTACTTACTGGTTTTGAGGTAGCACAGGGAGCTGGTGTCATGATGGGAGGCTTGGCTGCGCTTTGAGCTGGAGGCAAAGAGAATCTCTGCCCTGTGTCCGGAGGTGAAGAACAGTGAATCCGTGTTTCTAGTCTCTCAGGCTCATGCTTATAGGATTCAAGAGGAAACGTGGGCTGCTTGGTCACTTGTGTTGGGGTAGATGGAGAAGAGGAGAGGCCAGAGGCTGTGAACAAGAATAAGGACCCAAGATCAGTTCAGAGGAAGAGCAGGTGGAAATCTCAGCTTTACAGTGAACCTGTGTGTTTTCATCATATTTTCCCAAACTAACAGGATGGATCTCAGCTCCTTGTTTATGAAAGGGAATCGCTCTGCCTTGCCATGAAAACCATTTTAAACTGGATGAACTGTCTGATCCATTATAGGGAGGTGTGGTGGGAAGACGGGAGTGCTGGAGGTTTGTGTTGTGTTAACCTCCCATCTGATTGCCTATTTCTAAAATGATGCTCTCATTTTAATACTCCTGTGAGTCTCAGGATTACAAATGGTTCAAGAGCTTTAATGGTTGCTTTTTCTTCTTTTTCATTATTTTAACAGTATCTCGTCCAGCAGATAGAATACAATTAGGAGCAGAGGCAAAAAGGAACAGGGCATATTTCCCATGAGCCTCAATTTGCTTTCTGACGCTCTTGGCAATGCCTTTGTACAAACTAGAATTGTTTTCAGCAGCCTTTGAGGAGAAAGATTAATCATATCTTTTGCTGAAAATCAGTGTCAGCAGCAGATAATTTCTCCTGTGAACATCCTGTTTTTATTTGACATGTGTATCTACCCCAGCTGTATTTTTGGTCATGTTCCTAGGGCAGTTCTGAATCGTGATCAAACAGATTTAAGCTGTATTTATTACCCATTTAAGAACCAGCAGACACCCACAACCAGTTAGAAAACTCAGGTGCCAGCATCCGTGTTTCTTGTTATATCTATATGTAAGTCAGCAAACAGAGGGAGACTCTCTGTTGGCAGCATAAATCAGGATAGACTTAGATGCATAAAAGCCATAATGCTGAAGAGGGATATGTATTTTTAAGTGGGCTGCAAGATCTCTGAATTTGGTTCCCTTCTTGTCCTTCCAGAGACTTGTGCAGATGATCAGTTAGTCCAGCAGAGACTCAATTACATCGAAAGGGAGCAGATAAGCACAAAATCCCAAGCTACTCAAATGAGTGTTTGGGAACACAGTGATGCATCTTAATGGTAAGTAAGGCTCCTCTTCTCAGACTGAGTTTTCAGGGCTCCACCAGAGATTATTGCACCTGAGATTTTTTTTCCCATTCAAGAGCTTTGTATTGGTGTAACTGAGCCCCCACCAGTCCTTCCTTTGAACCCAGGGTAAAGTGCATTAGTACAGCTCACTTTGTCACATTTTACCTCACAGGGACCATTTTCAAAGAAAACTTTGTATTGATGGAAAGTGAGAATAAAACTCAGCAATTACTAAGATGCTGAGAGTTGGAAGACTGGAAATCCAGCAAGTCAGGGAGGGATCTATTACTTGAAGAAACTATTACTCCTGACATATCTGGGGAAGAGTTAGCATATCTTATGTTTAAAGGAATTAACATGGTATACAGGTAATTGTTTTTTAACTATTATTCTTCTTTGAAAACAGCCTTCCTCGATGGCTTTTACATAATAAGAGACTTAACTTTATCATAATTGAGTCACTCAACAAGAAACCTGCAAAATAATTAGGCTCCGATGTTTCTTATTAGTAGTGGGTTTAGTGGTGCAGAGTACTGTATTTGTTTCTTTCAAAGAAAATCCTAATTCTCACTGATAAATTTTAGCTTTGTTGGAGTCAAAAAGGACCCAACACTCAGTCCCTCCTTTTGGTCCTTTTCCAAAATTGCAGCTGCCCTCCAAGGACTTCCATTTCATTTCATAACAAGCTCTGCAGCTCTGCCAGTCGAGCAGCAATAACACAGTGGAGACTGGGTGTTGTAGGCAGATACAAATGTTGGCTGATGTGACATGCCATGGGGAGAGGCAAGAATAACCACCCTGGCATTTTGAACGTCCTCAACTTCTGATTTTAGTGGGAACTGAAGAGTGTGTTCCACCTCCTGAAGGAATAAAAGGACACCAAACTTGCCTGTTCAGTTTTTTGCTTACAGACAAATTTAGATAAACAGTTCCGGGGAAGATGCTCTTCTGTGTTTTTATGGATGTACAAACGTTCCCTGAGTGCTCAGACGCTCAGACTGGGGATGAGGTGGATGGGAGCTGTGATCAATGCAAATGTAAAACCACTAAAAGGGAGAAAAACACAATTAGATCTTAAAGTCTCGCTGCCGGGATGTGTTCACTGTGTGCTAATGTATTCAGCAAGTCCACAAGAACAACTTCCAGTAACCAAGAGGCTCTGCCAAAAGAGCTTTTACCAGACATAAGGAAACCACACAGTCAGCGGTCGAACAAGGCCAGCCTGCCAAGTGCAGAGGACGCCTACAGGACACAGGGAGCTGTGGATCAAAGGAGACCAAGAAAGTAACATCTCTAACCTCCTGAGAAAACTATTGCCACCTCATTGAAGTTTTGTAACAGCCCAGGCAGGACAGACACCATGGTTTCCATTTCATGAGGACATTCACTAGTGGTGAATATCCTTTTAGATGCCAACCTTGGACACTTGGCATGAGTTTTTGTGGATGAAGAGCATCTGTGACCCCCCAATGCTGAGCCTTAGAACTGTTTGTTTCAACTAGGTCCTTAAAACAAAAAGTACTTGCTGTGAGGCACACCCTAATACATCTGAGATTCAATTTGTCTGTGACTCAGTTTCTGCACAGAGGTAGAGGGAAAATATAATTATTTTGCAGGGTACTTGATTTAATTTATGTAGTTAAGCTTTTCAATCTTTTGAAAGCCTAACTCATAGCATTATTGTGGTATCTATGTTATTTACATTTGTACAATACTGAGATTGAAGGCATAATCACACAGGACATATTAAATACTTTCTGTGGTTATTAAACCAAAAGACTTTTGGCTGCTGTGATACAGCTCAACACCCTAAACCCTGCAAGGGTTTTTATAAAAGCCTGAAACATAAAAGAATGAAAACCTGTAATAAGTCCCCAGACCAAAATCAGTTCAGGAGTAACAGAACTTTGTATTAACTTTAGTCCTACTGGGCTGCCAACTAAACAGGCAGCATTGGTGTAAATATATTGTTATCTGTACATGCAGTAGCTGCCCTGTTCTACTGCAGTAGAAGGAATCCAATGAAGAGACAAGATACAGCTCTATCCCATGGCTGATAACAGCTCATTTTGGAGAAAGCATGCAAAACAGTTAAGCAGAGAAAACTAGATAAGTCTAGACTCTTCTACAAGGAAGCTGAAACAATTCAGTAGGTACATAGGATTTTAGAGAAGAAACAATCTTCAACATTGGCTACAAACTCTATTGTTTCTGGTAACAATACGAACAAAATGTGGCATTTTCATGTTAGGAAACTAAATAGCTGTTCCTTTTTTCCATAACACAAAAAAAGAATTTTAGAAAAAAAAATTAAAAAGACAGAAAAAAGTCTAGCAGATCAGTTCCTGTGTCACTGCCTAACACAAGGTTTTGTCCTTTTGGGTTGGAACTAGATGATCTTTGAGGTCTCTTCCAACCCAAACCATTCAATGATTCAATGATTCTGTGTTTTCCATTGATCACCCCTGTTCAGTTTTGAAAAAATCCAAGAGGTTTGCTTTATTCTGATTCATTCTGACATTCCCTTTCTGAGGACAAAACAAGAGCAAATAAAGAGGATAACTTTGTTTATCCCTGTATCGAGTAATCATGAGGTCTAACATTTGCAAAATGGAATATGCATATGAATAAGAATATTCATAAGAATGTATGAATGCGTGGTGAAAATTTGCATTAATATACAGAAACATCTTTCATATTATGGTATGGCTTTACATGGATCCTAAGAGAACTAAATAGCACTAGTCTCAGTTTTGAGCAGAACAGGTCTATCTCCAGTTGCCTTCCCCCTGTGACAGTGACAGCACACCAGAATTCAGTTCTGTGCCTTTATTTGAGCAGCTTCAGCTGGGATTGAGCTACAAATCACAGGTTGGATCCAAGAGCCCTGAGCAAGTGCTGCTGGAACAGCAGAGCCCACACCTTTGGCCCAAGTCAGCACTGGCTGGTATCAGGCTGGGTACAGACATACAAAAATAATGTTGTTCCCTTCACTTGTTTCTCTGGGTGTTTGAAATTGTATCTTTTAAATAAAGCTCTTATTTTGCACGGCATTAAGTTCTCCACCCACCTACGTGGGCATTCTGATCCAAACCAGCCCTCCACTGATACATAACAGGAAAGGATAAAGGATAAAGTGCTGCATTGTCATCCGTGTACTCCCAAGGGAAGAGGGGTGGCTGCCCTCCTACATTTCCTACATTCCCAGGGTGACACCCACAATGAGTTCTGTCACCTACATTTCATGCCTGACCTGGCAGGATGCATCTGGTGATTTCTGGGAGGAAGGATGCTCACAGTCCAGTGATTCCTGCCAAAGCCTCCCTTTTTATTATCAATCCTTTTCCAGAAAAAAAAAACAACAACAAAACAGCTGCTGCTCCCATGAACCTTTGGAGCCACCTGCCCACAAATGATGCTGCTAGGAATTTCAGGGATGTGCTAATGCTTCAGGGGGACAGTAAGAGTCACCCTCCCCAGTGGATGGCCCAAAGGATAGAGCCAGCAGCCTACTCTCAAACTTTATTTTTGCATTTGAAGTTGCTGAAACTGGTCAGAGTTACTGGCCATGAAAATTAAACCACTTTTGTAATTTACCTTTTCCTAGGAATCACATTTCAGTATTCTTTCATCCTGTACAGGATCAAGCCAAAAATAACATTGCTAATATATAAAGCTGTTGCTAAAACAGTTTCCCAAGTTTATATATGGGGATATATTAATTTACCATCTAGACTGATAATTCTCAGGAAAAAACACCTAAAGAAAAAACAAATTTCCATTTGCAGTGGCTCCATGTAACACTTTTTGTCTTGACTCCTTCACAGGACAGCACTGTCCTTTCATTTCCATTCTCAGCTGGCAGTGAAACAGAGAAGGCAGCAGGCTGTGGCTGCTGAATTTTAAACACTCAGCAGCACAAGTTAATCTGAGTTGAGCTGCTGGTTCATTAAGCTGATTCAC